CACACACACACACACACACACACAAAGTGCATACATAGAAGAGAAAGAGTGGATATGCATAGGCAAATGTACCATGTCAATCAACCTGTCAATCAAAATTCCAAATAATGAAAAAAAGTAATCAAGACAATTTAAACAATTTTATACAGTGGTGTAATATTTTATAGAAAAGCACAATCTATACTACTGTCTGATATTCATTTTAATTTTTTTAACTTTTTAAACTCCCGGACTAAAATAGGCCCCATTCAGGTCATGCCATAGAGGAACAGAGAGGGTCAAGGTTTTGGAGAGTGACTACAGACATTTTTGTTAAAAGCATTTAACACACCTGCCCCGTCCCAGATCTATGTAGATCATCTTACATTTCATTACAGTTGATAGGTGACGAACATTATGCAGGGTAACAACTTACTGCGTGATGTAGCCAATAGAATGCAGTTATATGCCACTAAAATTCAAGAGATTGGGGCAAAAATGCCCCTGTATGAGATTTTGTCTCATATTTATATCAAATGATATAGTTAAGCAATATCACATGGGTGCTGTTTTTGTCCTGAATACCACAAGTGCAAATGTGATACTGATGTTATACAACAGTTCAGTAAATAAGAATTAAATATTGTTATATTTTAGACACAATAATGTCTATTTTATGTGATAATAAATAATATAAAAAGCTATTGTATCTACTATATAATGTTATATGATATGAAAATATAGTAATAAAAAATATATTATATCTAATAAAATCTCTCCAGAAATTCTACAGTCACTCTCCAGGCCATTGACCAGTTCTTGACAGGTTCTGTGAGATTAAACTCTTCATGTTAGATGTCCCATGTTACATAATAATGATCACCACAAAAGGAAATTGTCAGAGCTGCTTGTGTAATGTGACATAAACTGCACTTACTTGTACTCTCCAAACTCTCCATCTTTCATTGTGCGAGCTCCATCGACCTGATCCTCCTCTTTATCTTTCACTGAAATACAAAAAAAATAAAAATGACTTTAACAAATTGCCAAAAAGACTATTCTTATTAAAAATTCCATATATAGGGTGCCTCTGGTATATACAGTGGTGTGAAAAAGTGTTGGCCCCCTTCCTGAT